CTAGACTGTAGGGCTTACTCGTTTGCTAATTGATGTGTTTTCTGCCTATCATTGAATCAGCCAAAAGCTATGCCGCTATCAAACTTAATGTTCCCATCATTAAATCCAACTTTGTTTCTATTGCCTGGTGACACATTTCATGTCACCTCAATTCCCTACAAGGTAATGAGTAAGAGAGCTTTACAGATTTTATATATCTTGATTCTCCCCTTAAACAATATTGGAATTGGGGGGGACGGGGGACGGACACTACTTTAACACTTGTACTACTAAGAATTCCATATCTGAAATTCCCATGCATGGGAACACGGCAGAGAACAATGTTGGCATGACATATTTGTAACACAATTAAATGCAAATGGGAAAGTCCTTATGGGACTTGTATAGTAATCCAAGACATTTGGAATATACCAAGTTGGTAAAGGTTATTCTATTAAGTATGCTTAGGAGTTTAGAGTCTTTCCATTGAACATCATTCCTCAATCAAGATTTATTTTCTGGTTAGTGATGAAGGAATTATGAAATTGCCCTCCATTTAATAAAAAATTTCTAAGAAAATGATTTAAGGTAATATTTGAAATAAAAATTAATGTATTAGCTAAGGGATGAACAATAAATATATCTGGTTGCTGCCCTTTGCCACCATTTTATTTTTAATCAGAAATTTTAGAGATAAATAGGCTTGCCCTTGATGTAGGACATGTAAAACGTCAGTGATGCTAGACACTTTACGAGGGTTGTCTCAATAGTAGAAGGCTCATTTTACTAACCTATACATGTGTAGATAATTTACTGAAGTAAACTCTTTCCATCTACTTCAAGGCAGTAGCTGAAGAGCAAATAAATGTCCTGTCTGTAAAAGGCATTACACAGTACGGTATCATTAGATTTTGTGTTCTGTGTTTTCTTTCTGATTGTTACTCACTTTCTTTGTCTCTTCCTTTCACTGCCACTTCACAACAGGAGCAGCTCACGGTAAAGTCTTTCTGTCTGTCTGCCTCTATCACTTTTTCTCCCAAACAGTCTCTAGTATACATGCTACTTATTTATGTGAATCTGGTTATGCATCACTATATGTAACTAATATGATTGGAAAGCAAAACAAATTGGAGCTCTTTTTATTTCTCTCCAAACATCAGACATTTCATTGATTCTGTTCCATCTCACATGAGTTAGGATTTGTGCGCCTTCCTGTCAAGTTACACTTTCTAAGAATCAGTCTTGTAGTAATCTTGAACTAGGTACAGTAGTTGGTTTTTGCCTTGTTGGGCCACTGAAAACAACATTCCAGTTAACCTGAGGACAAGCAATGGTAGCTGGAACATTGTTGGGTCTGGTTAAAAAGTTCCGATTGCTAGGAATTGTGTCAGATGTAGCCCTTTGTTCTGTGATCAAATATTTCATTCTCTGTTCTGAATACTTATTTTTAATAGTCACTAAATATTTATGCTGGAGAAGAACAATGTTGAAAAGATATGTCGCAAGGCTGCTAAAAGGAACAGACTGGAATATGTTATTGCTAGGCATCACAATACTCTTACAGTATGGTTTATTAATTAGAACTAATATAAAAACCATCAATACATGATAATGTCACTATCTGGAACGAATTATTTGTCTCTCCTATAGAAGGATTACAAACAGAAGTTCTTCAAAAGGCTGCCATGGTGGCACTGATGCTGAGAATAAATATGTATTTAATCAAATGTCAAAAACATCTATGCATCCTAAAAATATTTTTTTTGAGAGCCAGATACTTTATATTATCAGACTGCTCTTCGGGATTGACTTAAATGTAAAATCTTCATCATTGTCATCATCATCATCGCTATTCAACAATGTAAGCTAGATAAAGGGTCAGAGAAACAGTTAAAGTTGTAATGGCTACCTTATGGCCATATAGATTTTCTTAATCTATATTTATAATGTAGTTGTTTTTATTTATCAAGTCGATACTTGAGTACTAGAAAAGTACTCAAATCAGTACTAGAAAAACTGACTTGCAGGCTTTAAATGTATCTTTATTCTATTGAAGTTTTAAAAGCTGTTCCATGACATATAAAAACCAGATTCTTGAACATTTGCCAAACTATGGAAGTGTCCTTTAAATAAGGAATGTCAGTGTCCTTTAAATAAATGCCCTGCATCTTTAAGCATCTGTGTTGAGATGGCTTTGAAATATTGTGATACCTACCAAAGCTATCACGCCTACAAGGGAATCAGAATGGTGGGACTTTAGGAACATTCAAAAAAGTTCTATAAAGGCATTATGTGTCAGCCCTGTTCATAGGGAAATACCAAAAATAACATGGCCATCCAAAGCAATTCAAGTACAATTTGTTGAAAGCTGGGGTCTAAAGTGGCATTTGGGTGAAGAAGCAATTAATTAGCCTGAGGCTTCTCAGGGCTCGTGTTTAAAATGAATGAAAATGACCCAAATATCTCCATAAAAATATGGTTGGTTTATATCTTTCGTATGTGTTTTTTGATAATAATGTGTAATTGATAAATTTATTCTGTCATTCTTCAGCCAATTTTTGCTAGCTTTTTAGAAGCTTTCTTTGGAAGATGTAGTTAATTTACTGAGCTTACAGGCTATTAAAGAAAAGGAGACTGGTTTCTCCAACCTTGGAGTAAAATTGACCGCTGGATGGAATCAAGGCAATGCGACTGGATCTAAATACGTTGTGCTTTTGGTCTTTTATTAGTTGGGTCCATGTATTTTATGTGTGAAGTTTATCGTTATGCAAGCTGTGCTCAGATGAGCTTGCTGGAATTTCCTCATATAGTTCAGCCCAGGAGAGAAGGCTCTGCAAGGGCCATTTGCACAAAACAATCAACCCAGTCCCAGTCAGGTTTGCTCATGGTATGACTGGCTTGATTCACAAATGACCATAGTTGCAATCCCCACAGGTGCTGCTGAGGAAATTGGGATAATTTAATTTTCCTCTGCACATCTTGTCTCCTGCAATTTGAGAAAGGAACTTCAAAATATATGGGGACATGATTGAGGCTGGCACTGGGACAGTATGCACTGTCCACCTTTTTGGCCTGCATTTAGTTTCCTGTGTGCCTGTGAGAAAATGCATATTGAAGCAGCCCAGAGTGCCAATGCCTCAAGTGAGCTAGTTTTCATAAGCGTCTGGTAATTCACTCACAGATATCAGGAGAGACAGTTAACCCCTAGGCAAGCACTTTATACTTCATAAGTGTGTTATTGACTGGGAAATTTGCTTAGTTTTGTTTGAGACTAAAACTGGCCACTACAAAGATAATTGGAGACTCAGTAAATTTGCACAATAGCTTACCGCTAGCACACCCTCTCCACTGACCCAAAAACTTTTCCTAAATGGGCCTTAAAGAATCATTTATTTTAAAAAAATAAAAATAAAATACTGCAGTCATCTAAAAACCAGACCACTGCAGAATGAGCTCTGAATTCTCTTTAATGCAAAGGCTTTTCTAGTCATGCAGCAAAATAGGTTAGATATATATTCATTTTCACATGCAACCACATTTTGACATAGAAAACAATAACTTCTGCCATATTTCCTCTCTTTGAGCATGTTGACATGATAGAGGAAGAAAATTAAGCTTTAAACGTATAGTTGCTTTTTGTCTTTATGTAATACATCTGAAAATAGGATTTATACTTGCTGTTTTTATGGTAATGTGTGTGTAAGTTTATCTGCAAAACTGGACGTTTAAATCCTAGAATGTCCCTCCAAGTAGCAGAAGATTTCTTTACAATGAGGTATAGATTTCTCTGCAGACATATTACCAAATATTTTCAAGTATTGCCAGAGTGCAAGTTGTTCTCATTCATTATGCTTAATCTGTCAGAAAATCCACAATAAAATGAAAAAGGAATCTTTTTTTTTTTTGACGTGTCAGTACACTCAGATGCACTACCAACTGAAAATAACAATTTTTTTTAAAAAAAATGTGGCATTAAAAATGAGGCTATGATCTAAGTTGTGTGTGTTTATGCATATATTTCAAATCATGGTGAGACTGTGAAGTGAACCTATCAGTACAGAAGGTAATGTAGTGCAACATAGAAAGATAGGCCGCACATCCTCACAGTTGCAAGATTTGTGAATCTTGGGAAGACTTGGGAGTTTGGTAGAAATGGAATTTTTTGAGCCTGTTTATCAGCTACTATTAATGAATACCCAAAATAGAGGTGCATTACTTTTTATATCCCAGTGTAATTACATCCAGTAGGATGTGTATCTCATGTCAGATAACTAAAAAAATCAGAGAAACTTTAAAGCAAAATACTTACTAGGTTGTAGCATTATTACCTGACTGACTTACTCTGGGTTCAGCTCTGGTTTGTGCTTAGCTGGAAGACTGCCAGGGAATTCTATGGTAGGCTGAGAAATCAGGAGGAAACATCCTGGAAGAATGAAAGAAGACAGTGACAAATTTCTTCCAGCTGTTACTGAGGAAACTAAATGTAGATACTGCATATCAATGAAGTCTGCAGGTATTTTTTTTAAAGCCAAAATCTTCTGTGAGCATTCACAATTAGACACAACTTTTTTTTTCTAATATGAAGGATGCATTCCATGGAACTATTTGTACACTTGCTCTAATTTCCACAGGGGTACTAAATCTTTAGATACCTGCAGATTAAGGCAGATCTTAAAGGAATGATTGTAAAACAGGTTAATGGAGAGATATTGAAAGAGCACTCTAATGGATAAAGAAATAGATGAAATTTAAAGCATACTAGAAGAATGGAAGGAATGAATTGATGTTTGAAACAGACATAACTGGTAAACAATTTCTAGGGCAACATTTTATTGAAGAAATGATTGACGAAAGGTGTGTGGATGGCCAAAAATGGTAGCATTCATACATATAGTATTACTAGCATCCTAGTTATAAAATAGATTGAATCTCTGAATTTGGAAATACAGTGTCAGGATTATTGTAGAGATCCAGCTTCATTTTTTCCCTGCTTTTTGTCCCCATCCAACATCTTCCTACAGAGGCAGTAAAGGGAAAGACATCAACACCATTAAATCCTTACGTGTCCTTCGTGTTCTCAGACCACTCAAAACTATCAAGCGGTTGCCAAAGCTCAAGGTATGTTTGGAATAGAAGTGTAAAAAAACAAGCAAACAAAAAAACTCACCCTGGAATCCTTGGTTTTATATGTTTGTTGTATGTATACAATACATACATACATACATACATACATACATACATACATACATATTCTGCAGTGTTGAAAAAAAGATTAAGCAAGAAGGCTGAAGTTAGGCATGAACTCATGAAAAGGCATGAACTTAGGTTCCTTTATTAACTTTCACATATGTGATGCAATATGATCCAAAGAAGAGATATTATAATAGCACTTTCCCTGAAGAATTATTGTTTTGGATAGCCAAAAATTAAACAATTCCCCAATCACCAGAGTAGGATAAATTTACACATTTTTTATCATGTAGCTAAAGAAACATTAAAGAATTTTGCAGCATTTAAAGAACTACAGCATTTATTATAGCATAAGCTTTTATCCACAAAATTCTTTTCCACCTTGTTTACATAGGCAGGGAGGGAGAATAACAAAACAATGTCACAGAGAAATTGTAAGAATTATGTACTTCCATTTGACATTGCAATGCAAATACAAAAGGGTGACTTTTCCATTATAGTATCCTGGCACAAGTATTATCATAATTTGTCATCCTAGTTTGTACTGGATGCCTGTGCATGGATGGAAATCTGCTAACTTTAATCTTCATGCACCTAATTGCCTCTAGTTTAGGAAATGTTTTTTTATGAATTACCATTATATCAATGTTTTATTTTCCTAACTGTAATTTAATTGGTACAGTCATTATATTCTTGTTTTCATATCTCTCTGATTCTATATTTTTAAAAATAGATGTATTTACCTGCCCACTGAAGTTAAAAATTTTAAAATTACTATCATGCCATAAGACTGTTGCTTTGGCTGCATTTGATTCAATGACCAGTAAACTGGATACAGCTGAAAAGTAATTTCTCCTTTGGAAAGAAAAATTATTACTCTGGTCTAGGAACTCTAAATCTATGCAAACCTGGAAGATATTTGGGTAGCAGTGGAGATTTTTTTTAAAGTTGTCCTCCTTAGGACCAATTTACTTGAAGAACAGTTTCAACATTAATTTTCCAGCTCTTGTGACAGTTATCAGAAACTGTGCAGAATATATTGTGGAAATCAGTGGACATTTTCACTGTGTTAGTATGGCTTTTAAATACATTTAAGTCTTTAATAAGTTTGAAACTTCTATGTTAAGAAAATTTACTGTTGCCTATTTTTAAGCTGTTTTCATTTACTTTTCAGTACTTGCATTTTAGGGCTGCATGCTACCTTAGTTTTATTTGATTGTTTTTATGATGGTATATCTCTCTCACATCAACATATTTCTTAAGCAAGAGGGTCAGTTTTATAGAAAATTAAGATACAGATAAACATAATATAGTCAAATCTTACCAGCATATCTGTTTTTCACAGGCTGTCTTTGACTGTGTGGTGAATTCACTCAAAAATGTCCTCAATATTCTCATTGTATACATGCTGTTCATGTTTATCTTCGCTGTGGTTGCTGTCCAGCTCTTTAAGGGCAGGTTCTTCTACTGCACTGATGAATCCAAGGAGTTTGAAAAGGACTGCAGGTACATAGCCTCCTCCCGTTCAGCTTTTTTTTAAATTCAATTCTTTTCTCCTATCTAGTCAATCCTGTAATTTATAATAAGGTGTGTGATTCATAAAGTTATAACCTTTATAATTCCCTGTATCACATTGCCATTGCATTCAGGGCAAGCCAGTGGCTTCCAATGCATTATTTTCTGATATTTATTTAATTAATTTATATAGCTGCTCATTTTGCAGATGTTTCTCTGGATTGCTAGCCACTCATTAAAACAAAATAAAGAACAGCTAGAAACCAAGAGACAGTGACTTCCAGTCCTGCCTTAGGCATGAAAACCTGCTGGATAACTTGTGGCCAATCACAGCCCAGCTCACCTAACAGGTTTGTTACATTAGGAGGAAATTAGGAGGAAGAAGTATTAGGTATGTCCGTCACCTTGAGCTACTGAGTTATGTCCTGATTAGGTTTTTTTTTTCCTATATTAACAACACAGATTTTATAGCTTTATAGCTATAGTCAAAATATATTGTATCACTTTTCTATATCAACAAAATGAATAATTTCCTGAAGTTATAATCTAATTCAATAAAGTATAAGACACTTTAAAGCAGGGGTGTCAAACACAAGGCCCGCGGGCCAAATCCGGCCCGCCAGACCTCGTCTGATGGCCCGCGGTGCCGCCGCCAGCCTTGCAGCCTCCCCCTTTTTTTTTTCAATGAATTTACTCCGTGCCTGCACGGAGTAAATTCATTTTAAAAATGGCTCAAGTTAAAAAAAAAAAAAAAATTACTTACCTTCCGGGACCTGGCCCGACTTCTTCCTGCCCCACACTGCTCCCTGGGTGTCGGACGTGACGTCATCACGTGACGTCCGCCTGACATCTCCAGGGATCAGAGGAGCGCGCGGACGCCGCGGAGAGGAGCAAGAAGAAAGAAGTAAAAGAAAGAAAGAAGTAAAAGGTAAGTAAAGTAAATGGAGGGGGCAGATGGCTGGGCACTATAAAAGGGGGCAGATGGCTGGGCACTATAAAAGGGGGCAGATGGCTGGGCACTTTAAAAGGGGGCACATGGCTGGGCACTTTAAAAGGGGGCACATGGCTGGGCACTATAAAAGTTAAAAAAAAGGTAATGCCTTGTGTTTTCCATATGTTTAATAAACAGTGTTTGGCAATATTTGTATGTTTAAAAAAAATTAATGTTTGTTACCAAAAAACATTTTTCAATACATTGTACAATAATTGTACATTTGAATATCTACTTGTCATTATTCTGACTATGTTTCTGCTTTCAGAGCTAGTTATTACTTACATTATTACAAAAAACAGTAATAATTGAATGCAGTGACATTAATTTATGATAATAAAGAGTGGACACATAGACCTACAGATACAACCGGCCCTTTGATGGGGACCAAACTGCTGATGCGGCCCCCGATGAATTTGAGTTTGACACCCCTGCTTTAAAGAGTCTTTTATTCTTACATTTATCTCTGTTATGCTGTCCATTTTAAGATGCTGGATACAGTTAAACCTGGCCTTTTTTTTCTTTAATGATTATTTCTGACCTAGTGGTTATCATGGTGTCATTTTAAATATATGATTTTCATGGTTTTAAAGTTTCACAGAAAAACCTTACTACAAGGTGGTAACAGTGAGCTATGTTGTAAATTGAACTAGCCAATATTTTTGTAGTAAAAGTACATAACCTTAAAGAAACAGTAAATAAAAGGAAATATTTGCAGTTTATAAATTTCTATTCTCTTGAAGTCTTAATAATTTACTACAAGTGTGTAAATAGCATTTCTGTACAGTACTGCAAATGCTAGTAAAAGGAGATGATTAAGGAGATGAAACACATTTAAAAGAGGTCAAGTGTCAGCCCCTCCCCAAGAGAAGCTGTGGAAGGCACAGATGAAATGCTAGAATTTCTTAAATCTGTGTTAGATTTGTTAATGGGTAATGAACTGTATTAAAAAGGAAGGAAAACAATAGAGTACACAGCTTGTCTTACCTCACTCCCAGGTTTAACATCCCTCTACTGGCTATGTTATATAAAGGATAATTTTCCTTAACATTTCTTTTCCAGTATGGCTTGGTTCAGTCTCTGTGCAATATTTACAGACATGCAGAATTTAAATCATTTACTACAATTTAGATAGTTTAATTTCTTTTGTTTCCCAATCAATATTCCTAGACCTTTGCTACTAAACTGTCAATAAAGTTGTTCTCAATAGGTTCATTTATTGAATTGAATCAATTTATCTTAAAACAGCTGAGGAAATAGTAACAATGGGCTAGAAAAAGGGTGTCAAACTCGTGTCATCATGGCATCATCATGTGATAGCGCAACTTTTTTCCCCTTTGTTAAACTGGGGCGTGGGTGTGTAATTAGAGAATAACTCAAAGCAAGTTGAAACATTCCTCTAGATTCTGAAGCTTCAAAGACATCACTGAGATAGGGATTTTTTCTTTGTCATCATTGCTACCAGAGAATAATATCTGAGGCATTTTCATGTGTGTTGATTAATTTTGACCTGAGTTTTTTTTCCTATTTGTGTTCAAGATGCTATTCAATCTGTTTCTGTTCTCAAAATCTCAGTAAATCAGAGAGCCAAACAAGCTCTGTTTAGGGGAGAGCTATCTGGGAGTTTTTAAAACAAAGGCATAAATCAGCCCTTTGCTGTTCAAAACATTTTGGTTATGACCACAGACAAGGCATACCCAAATCCCCTAGGAATCCATCACTGCTAGTCATTTTAATTGTTCCATCACCTTCATAGAGGGATAACAAATCTAGTGTCATCATGGCAACCATAAAGTCCTGAGTCATACACTTATCTGAGATAGAAACAATTCATTTTGCTGTACTGAAAACCACCTGCTACTCAGAAATCTAAGATTAGGCAAAGATATCGCAGACATGTTTAGCTGGTTTTTCAGAATTTTGTATGGGAAAAACATTTTAAAACAATTCAGTCTACATTTTCAGCACTATAAACACTTTTCAAATCAGAAGCTTTAGATTCTTCAAATTGCTAAAGAATTGGTCTCTTAACATTGTTTGCAACTTGCCAACTTTATTGGGGAAAATATATGGAATAACTAAAAATAATGCAAAATTATTGTATTGAAAATTATCCTAATGAATTTATTCAGTTTCATCCCCAGTTAAATATTATAGTATAAAAGTTTAAATAAAGTAACTATGTATATGAATCTATCTTCTCATAATTACCTGTTTGTTTGGGGAGATTAACATGAGATTAATAGCTATAAAGTAGTGACGTTTGCTTGATTAATCTTTCAGTCAATCTTGAAACCTGAATAAATAATAAACACCTCTTTTCACATTCTCCTTTAAATGTTAATGCTGTTAAAGAGACCATCTACATCTTAGAATATTCTGATTAAATTGTTAAATTCCATTGTATAAACATGTATCTGAACACTTTTGTTGATCTTCCTTAGAGGAGAATATTTAGTCTACGAGAAGAACAATGAAGTGAAGGCCGAGAGACGAGAGTGGAGGAAATATGATTTTCATTATGACAATGTGCTATGGGCACTGCTTACCCTTTTCACTGTGTCTACAGGAGAAGGTTGGCCAGAGTAAGTTATTGATGAAAATAATGATGTTTTAAAACAGTAGGGACCTTGAGCATCTAATTGCCTGTCATTAAATAAGAGTGTTGGACTAAGCTAATCCTTGATCTGAATTACATAAATTATGCAGATGAGGTCATTATGCTACTTTTGTCTAGGCTTGTCCAATATGTTTACTCTTATCATATGAAAATGTACTACCTCAGTTGGAGAGATTATTTATTTACAATGGCACAGAACATTCAAAACTTAACCAACCAACATGAAAAAACAAAGTACATGGGACAGATAATGTAGTAAAAAGTCACATACTCTGACATTGGATTAAATTCCAAAATTTATAGACTATAAAACAACATTTTGCAATATATAGGAAAATGGATGTATGTTTGTTTTATAATGTATTATTCTGATCAATTACGGGATGCGGTGGCTCAGTGGCTAAGACGCTGAGCTTGTTGATCAGAAAGGTCGGCAGTTCACCAGTTCGAATCCCTAGTACCATGTAACAGAATGAGCTTCTGTTATTTGTCCCAGCTTCTGCCAACTTAGCAGTTCGAAAGCATGTAAAAATGCAAGTAGAAAAATAGGGACCACTTTGGTGGGAAGGTAACAGTGTTCCATGCGCCTTCGGCATTTAGTCGTGCTGGCCACATGACCACGGAGACGTCTTCGGACAGCGCTGGTGCTTCGGCTTTGTAACAGAGATGAGCACTGCCCCCTAGAGCTGGAAACAACTAGCGTGTATGTGTGAGGGGAACTTTTACCTTTACCTTTTTTATTCTGGTCAAACAAATCTGTGATTGTTATTATGAAAGAAGTTATGAGGAAAAGTAGTTTTCTTTATAAAATTAATAATATAAAGCAATATAAGCTGGGATTTCAGAGGTTCCAGCACTCAAAATTAAAGACTGGCATAATAAATTTTCTTAAGCTTCTTTATGCCTACCATGGGAGAATGTTAATTTAAATTTCAGTTCTCATTATTATCAGTACTTTAATTATTATGCTGGATCTTGAATATTGACTTTGGGATAGTGAAGGAAAAAAATCACAAATACAACTGAATCAGAAATACTATTTCCATTTTGTAATCAATAATTATTGTAAGAAATGAAGTTCAAGACATCTGAAGACTTTTGGAAAGACTCCATTTTAGTAATAGGATTCTTCTACACCTCAAGAAGCACTTTTAAAGATATCAAATGGTTTATTTATTAATTGCAAGAAAAATATGACTGTTAGATTAATGTGCATTGTATTATACAATCTGATATAAGCCTGTATGGTATTATATTATGATATAATAATATTATAATAAAGTATCATATTAGGATTAGAATTATATTAATAAAATTACATTTTCTTTATTTGTTTATATACTACCTCAATCTAACTAGACTCCAAGCAGTTTACAACGCATATAATAAAATACCAAAGTAATAATACACTAACTTAAAATATAAACAATTCATATAAAATAATAACTAATACTTTTTTTTCAGTGTTCTTAAGCACTCAGTGGATGCTACATATGAGAATCAGGGGCCCAGCCCTGGTTATCGCATGGAAATGTCCATCTTCTATGTGGTATATTTTGTGGTCTTCCCATTTTTTTTCGTCAACATTTTTGTGGCCTTAATCATCATCACTTTCCAAGAGCAAGGAGACAAGATGATGGAGGAATACAGTCTGGAGAAGAATGAGGTATGGCATACATTGGAAAATCCAATGAAAATATTGTATTGACAGAAAACCTAAAAAAAACATTCAGTTCTCTCTTTCTCTCTCAAATCTTTAGCAGTTCAAAGACTTCAGCTTGATACAAAAATATTTTGCAAGGTGTCAGAAAGAACTGAAAATCTGATTTTACTGAGTCTGGTGACTGGTAGCAAAGGAAGTTTGATACCAGAAAGACTGCAAAGGCAGATTCTTATAGAAACTAACAAGAAGCTGCATCATGTTCTCATCATGATAAAGTTTGGAAAATTAAAATAGAATATATAAGGACAAAAATTCATATGCTGTAGTTCTATAGAATATATGAATGAATAATAAAAGCAGGGAACAAGGTTTATAGAAAAGATTACAACATTTTATAAAACAGCAATAGGTACCTGCTACCTTCTAAGCTATACAATTCACATTATTTCCAGCAAATATGGCTAATTATGGAGAAAGGCTGACCTAAATAATACTATTTTGATCAATATGTATTGTCTATCAATTTCATGTAGGTATATTAATATCATCAACTATTGGCATTTTAGATTGTGTAGAATTGAGATTATTGCTGCTCTACTTTTTCCATTAGGCTGTTGTTCCTTACAAAAGAGAAAAGAGTCTGGTCATTCTATGGCACACTAATAATCCTCTTTGCTTCATTTCTCTACAAATAGTCATAGCCTTCATTAACTAACTGCCCATGGGAAAATGGCTTAAAATCCAAAGAGCAGGACCTTTTTCTATTAAAATCCACATTCTCACAAGAGTACTGTATTAGCAGATGGGACTGCTTTCCCTGCCTCCCCCCTCCCCCCCAATATCTGCCAATGGAGGAAATTACTTTAAAATAAAAAATATGGATTTTTTTCTATTAAGGGGCAGATTCTCTTATCTTAATCTATTCTTGGACAAGCCTGCTCCCCTTCTTCTCTCATTTGTCTTTTTCCTACCATTTCCCTTTTTCCCTCCTTTCCCAGGGGTGGGATTCAAATTTCTTAACAACCGTTTCTGTGGGCGTGGGTTAATTTGTGGGTGTGGCTTGGTCATGTGACTGGGTGGTTGTGGCTTGCTGACTGGACCTGGCTTGGCGGTCACATCACTGGGTGGGTGTGGCTTGGTGGTCATGTGACTGGGTGGGCATGGCCAACTTACTGTCACTCACGTCAAGGGGTGCCTCGCCTGGCCCCTCCCCTCCCAGCCATTCGTTGTCGCACCCAGCCTCAACTTATCTATAGTTCTGTAAAAATGTTGTTCACCTTTTTTTGACTTTATTATCTGCATACTATAGATGTACTTTCACGGACCACTGAAAGGAGGAAATGCTTTACTCAAGAGTGGGATAGACAAAAGGCTTTTAAGGGGCTGCCACAAAGAAAGGGGGGCAATGTATTTTCCAAAGCACCAGAAGGCAAACAAGAATCAATGGATGGAAACTGAACAAAGACAGAAGCAACCTAAAACTAAGGAGAAACTTCCTGACAGTGAGAACAATTAGCCAGTGGAACTGCCTGTCTCCAGAAGTTCTGGGTGCTCAATCACTGGAAGTTTTTCAGAAAAGACTGGACAGCCATTTCTCTGAAATGGTATAGGGTTCCTCCCAAGGTCCCTTCTAGGTGTTATTCTGTTATTCTAACACTGTTCCCAGGCCCTCTACTCAGAATTTGGCATCCTCAGTTTTCCTGGCTGAGCAGTGGGTTAGACTAGAACAGGAGTTGCCAACCTTTTGGACCTCAGGGACCACCAAACTCATAATTTTAAATCCTGCAGACCAGAGACCCTAGGAAAATCCTCAAAAACAGTCTGCAGGAAAATTCCCCATCCCGTTTTCCTACTGATTGATCATTCTTTACTGTCTCCAGTTCTGTTCTTGAGGGGGGTGGGGAGAGAGAGACAGACAAACAGACTGACTGACTGGCTGACTTTTGGCTTCATGCAAGGAAAGCAGCAGAAGCAGCAGAAGTCTTTCTCTCCCCCAAATTCCATCAGAAATGAGTCTTTGTGAGACTTGTTGCACTGGCGCAGCCTCTTGGAGCAGGATGCCTTGCAGGGTCTCAAAGGGTCTCATTTCTGGCGGAGTTTGTGGAACTTTTGCTGTTTTCCTTGTGTGCAGCCAAAAGCAGAAGAAGAAAGAAGCGGAAAGAAGCAGCCCAACGGCCAGGCCAGGCGCATGGGGCGAGTGGGGCAAGTTCCCCTTTCCCCCCCTCCCAATGCAAGCCTTGTGTTTCCTCAGGCCATGTGAGTGGCTCAGCCTTGTGTTCCCATGCAGCCTGGATTAATTGCTTTGGGGGATACTTTTGGGGGGGGACATTTCTCTGCGGACCACCAAAATTTTCTTGCGGACCACCATTGGTCCCTGGCCCACTGGTTGGTGACCACTGGACTAGAAGACCTCCAAAGTCCCTTTCAAGTCTGTTAAACACACATGTATTTATGCTCTGGACTATAGACATTGAATGCATGTATTGTAAACTCTGAAAAATACCTGAGCAAAAGAAAAGCAGTAAAGTTATTCTAGGTATAGGGACAGTGTAAAATATTAATATATGATAAATAATGGAACAATTAAAAATAATAGTGCAGAGTTTTCTCTCTCTCACCCACCCACCCACCCATTCCTTCCTATTTCTTTTTTTCTTTCTGTCTGTCTTTCTTTCTCCCCCTTCCTCTTTCTTTCTTTCTCTCCCTTCCTCTTTCTTTCTTGCTCTTTCTCTCTCTTTTTCTCTCTCCCTTCCTCTTTCTTTCTTTCTTTCTTTCTTTCTTTCTTTCTTTCTTTCTTTCT